GGAGCTGGAGTAGAACATATTATGCCTTAGCTGAATCCCCCAAATCAAGGAATACAACTATATTTCCAGACAAAGCACAGAGTTTGGACTGGTGACTTCTTTGGTATAGAGAACTCCTGGGTTGGGAAAGAAATAATACCATCATTGCAACTTATTCTTTTAGAGAGTTGCCTAGAGAAAAGAGTGTTTGTAGTCACTCATAGACAAGAGTACAGGTCAGGAAAGGAGTAAACACCTCACCCTTGATCATACCACCTTGGAAGAACTGAAAATTTACAGGTCCCTAGAAGTATCTCTAAAAACAGCTGCACAAAACCCCCAAAGCTTGGGACAGTACATTCTCCACACTGGAAGCAGACCCCTACCTTAACAAAGAGTTTAAAACTCAAGTAATTGGCTGGAAATATGAGCAAACCTCGCAAAAAAAAAAAAGTCAGACCATAGAATCTTTCTTTGGTGACAAAGAAGATCAAAACATACAACCAGAAGAAGACAACAAAGTCAAACCTCCTACAGACAAAGTCTCCAAGAAAAATATGAAGTGGTCCCAGGCCATGGAAGAGCTCAAAACGGATTTTGAGAACCAAGTAAAAGAAGTAGAGGAAAAACTAGGAAGATAAATGAGAGTGATGCAAGAAAATCATGAAAAACAAGTCAACATCTTGCTAAAAGAAACCCAAAAAAATACTGAAGAAAATAACACCTTAAAAAATAGCCTAACCCAAATGGTAAAAGAGTTCCAAAAAGCCAATGAGAAGAAGAATGCCTTCAAAAGCAAAATTGGCCAAATGGAAAAGGAAGTCCAAAAGCTCACTGAAGAAAATACTTCCTTAAAAATAAGAACTGAGCAATCAGAAGCTAGTGACTTTATAAGAAATCAAGACACTGTAAAACAGAACCAAAAGAATGAAAAAATAGAAAATACTGTGAAATATCTCATTGGAAAAACAACTGACTTGGAAAATACATCCAGGAGAGATAATTTTAAAATTATTGGACTATCTGAAAGCCATGATCAAAAAAAGAGCCTAGACATCATCTTTCAAGAAATTATCGAGGAAAACTGCCCTGATATTCTAGAACCAGAAGGCAAAATAGAAATTGAAAGAATCCACCAATCACCTCTTGAAAAAGATCCCCAAAGGAAAACACCTAGGAATATTGTAGGCAAATTCCAGAGTTCCCAGGTCAAGGAGAAAATATTGCAAGCAGCCAGAAAGAAACAATGCAAGTATTGTAGAAACACAATCAGGATAACACAAGATTTAGCAGCTTCTATATGAAGGGACTGGAGGGCTTGGAATATAATATTCTGGAAGTCAAAGGAGATAGGACAACAGCCAAGAATCACCTACCCAGCAAAACTGAGTATAATCCTTCAGAAGAAAAAATGGACATTCAGTGAAACAAAAGACTTTCAAGTATTCTTGATGAAAAGATCAGAGCTGAATAGAAAATGTGACTTTCAAATACAAAACTCAAGAGAAGCATGAAGAGGTAAACAAGAAAGAGAAATCATAAAGGACTTATTAATGTTAAACTATTTACATTCCTACATGGAAAGATGATATTTGTAACTCATGAGACCTTTGTCAGTATTAGGGTAGTTGGAGGAAAAAAAAATTATTTGTATAGATAGATAGAGGGCACAGGTGAGTTGAAGATGAAGGGGTGATATCTGGAGGATAAAATTAAGGGTGAGAGAGGATTATACTGGGAGAAGGAGAAAGGGAGAGGTTGAATGGGTTAAATTATCTCACAAAAAAACAGACAAGAAAAGGCTTTTATAGTGGAGGGGAAGTGGGGGAAGATGAGAGGGAATGAGTGAGTCATATTCTCATTGGATTTGGCTTAAGGAGGGAATACCATACACACTCAATTGGGTATGGAAATCTATCTTACACTACAGGAAAATGGGGGGAAGGGGACAAGAGAGTGGGGGGGCAACCAAAGAGGGGAGGGTAGATTGGGGAAGTGGATAATCAGAAGCAAACATTTCTGAGGAGGGACAGGGTCAAAAGAGAGAATAGAATAAATAGGGGGCGGGATAGGATGAAGGGAAACACAGTTAGTTTTTCACAACATGACTACTATGGAAGTGTTTTGCATGACTACACATGCATAACCTGTATAGACTTGTTTGCCTTCTCAATGAGGGCGGGTGGGAAGGGAGGAAGGGAGAAAATTTGGAACCCAAAATTTTAAAAACAAATGTTAAAAATTGTTTTCACATGCAACTAGGAAATAAGATATACAGGCAATGGGGTAGAGAAATCTATCCTACCCTATAGGAAAATAGAAAGTAAGGGGATGGAGGGGTAGAAGGGAGGGCTGATTAGGGGAAGGGGTATTCAGAACGCACACCATCTTGGAGTGGGGGAGGAACGAGATGGGGAGAAAATTTGGAACTCAAAATCTTGTGGAAGTGAATGTTGAATACTAAAACTAAATAAATCAATAAATAAAATTTTTTAAAAAAGAGAGAGTTGCCTAGAACAGGGGCTCTTAACCTTTTTTTGTGTCATGGATGCCTCTGGCAATCTGATGAAGACTCTGGACCACTTCTCAGAATAATACTATTAAATATATAAAATTACAAAGGAAACCAATTATATTAAAATAAAGATGTAATTTTCCCCCAGCCATGTTCATGGACCTACTGGTCTGTAGACCCTAGGCTAAGAACTTCAGGCTTAAACTATTGAGAAATTAAGGGACTGTCTATGTGTCATAGGCAGGATCTGGACCCACTTCCTCCTGGCTTTGAAGTTGGATCTCTATCTCATATACCATGCTGCTTCTCAGACAGGGCAAAACTAAAAATAGACATGATTAAAAAAGATATACTCACATACATATGTTTACATGCACTGAACAGGATAAGTAATTAAATACTCAAGAAAAAGCTAACCAAACAGGAAAATGTAGGCAATAAAGCAATAAAAGGTTGCTTTATTGGCAATTTCAATATGATTCTTTCAGACTTAGATATATCTAACAAATATACATAAGAAAAAAAGTTAAAGAACTGAAGAGAACGTTAGAAAAATTAGACATCTTAGACCTTTTGTGATGGCTTAATAGAACTCATAAAGAATGTGACTATTTTTCAGCAATGCATGGCACCTTTACAAAAACTGACCACGTGCTATGCCATAGAGAATGCATAGACAAATGCAGAAGGCCATAGACAAATGCAGAAGATATAAAAATATATTCTACAGACAACACTCAATAAAAACTGGTCAATATATGAAATATGAAGAAAAGTTTCAAACTTAAATGGAGACTAAATAATATACTAATAATATTGCACAGGTCAAAGAATAAATCAGATACTGTAAATAATTACACTAAATTAAACAAAATGATAACAATCAGATAACATACCAAAACTTGTGAAATAAAACTAAAGCAATCTCTAATGGGAATTTTTTCTTACTGAACATATTAACAGATAAAAACAAGAAAAAATAAATTGAGCATTCAAATATCAAATCAGTAAAGATGATAAAAGATGGAAATAGTTAATGTTGAAGGAACTATGGGGGAAAAAAAACACATTAATACTTGGTTAGTGGAGATGTGAATTGATCCAACCATTTTGGTTAACAATTTAGATCTATGCTACAAAAGTGCCTAAAAATGCTTAGACCTTTAGCCCCAGCTATACCTAGACATAAATCTCCAAAGATAAAGGGGGAAAGTCACATACATAAGAAAAATATTTAAAGAAGTAACTTTTGTGGAAGGAAAATGCTGGAAACAAAAATAAATTCCCATAGACTGAGGAATGCCTAAATAAACTATGGTAAATTAATGTAATGAAATATTGTGCCTTAAAAAACGATGAATATTACTTAAAATAAAAATTAAAAAAAGGATGAATATGAACTATCCAGAGATACTTGTGAAGATTTTTATGAACTGACTGAATAAAGCAAAGAAAACCAAGACAGCAATCTATACAATAACCACAATAACTTAAAGTAAAGCAATACTTTAAAAAATATCAGATCTCAGGTCAATACAGTGACCAACCTTGATCCCAGAGATTTAATTATGACACGTACCACCTTTTTCTTAGTAGAGAGGCAATGAAGTACAAATGCAGAAGGCATGCACTTTCAGACATGGTCAATGTGTCAGTATATTTTGCTTAACTTAAGTTCTTTGTTATAAACAATAGTTCTATTGTGTGGAGGATAACATTGGAAAATAACAGTAATATTTTTAAAAGAAGTTCTCAATCAGACATTTCAAAAATAAGATGGCAAGGGAGCCTGAAGTTAATATTCTATTAACTATTATTAGCCTATCATAGAAGCCAAATTGGAATGGGACCTATAAGAAATAAGGATTTCAAAGTTTGACCAACAAAATAAACACTGTAGTTCTCAAAACCAACAGTCCATTCCTACAGTTAGATTAAGTAGAAGAAGGGTTATATCTTTTCATAGGCAACTTTGATTAGTGAGCACAAGATTTCAAAAAAAATATGTTTACAAAGTTGGTTTAAACATTATTGGTAAAGATTGAGATTTGTATATGCATTGAAATTTTTATGTATTGTAGACTAATGAAAATCAGCTATGAAAGTGTCACCAACCACAATAATGGAGAGTTGAGTAACTAGGCCAAAAAGGAATTGTTTTCCTCCTCCGAAGACACACCAAAAATACTTACTCCCTTTTAAGAGTAAAATGACAGTATTATAAATAAAGTAGCATATATCACAATAATAAGTATTAATATGGTATTTATTATAACCAGCATATTAAACCACTTCCTAAAATTCCTTAAACAAGCCTGCTTTTGAAGACCTATTACTTTGGCCTAGGATAACTAGAAGGTCATATTATATTTTATCTTTAAAATATATAAGAATTTCATTTGCTCTACGATCTTACATGTCAAAACACTAGCTAAGAATAAAATTTGGCAAGTGAAAAGCTCTCAAGATACATTAGTACATAATAGGTATATATTTGAAAAATTACCTTAAAATTAATTTGCATCATAGGAAGAAGGTGTACTAATGCACTGCTCCAGTCTGTAGTAATGAGGGAATTAACTTCCTGAAGCTCCAAGCACTGTAGTGTTTTGTACTTTTCCTGGGACATGCTAACTTTGGAACCTAAAACATCAGCAATTGCTATAAGAAAAAGAAAAGAAGAGAAATAAGGAAATTTAAAAAAAAATGATTAAAATAATTCACTTGAACTAAATTTTTTTTAAATTCAGTAATACATAATTTTTATAATACCACTTCAGGAAAAAACTAAATTTTTGTTAGGTAAATTATATGAAATAAATTGTTGGAATGGCAAAAAAGACTATTTGTTAAAGGGGTGGAGAATGCTAAGGAACGCAGAAAATACAGAATCTGAGCATTAGAAGGAACCTCAGAGACCACTAATTCAATTCATACCTGAATAAGAAGCCCCTCTTCAATATATATGACAAGTAGTTATCCAGACTTCACCTGAAGACCTCCAAGGAGGGGGGAAATCCACCACCTCTAAGATGGTCTGTTTTACTTTTAAATAGCTTTAATTCCTAAGGAAGTTTTTCCTTATATCAAGTCTGAATCTGTTTCCTGTTATACTAAATGACCTTGACCTTGAAAAGGTCACCTAAATATTTCACACTGTAATTTTCTTAACTAAAAAACAATTTTACCTATGGGCATTTTAGAAGGACTAACAGACAAAAGAATGCATTTCATAAGATACTCAAATAGTCAACAATTAATTATCAAAGATTCTACTGACTCCAAAAATTATTAAGGAAGCAAAAAAAGTTATAACTTCATTAAGTAAAATACTTAGTTTTAATTGGTCTGGTATAAAGGAAAATAGTTAAATCACAATCATCTTAAGAAATGTGAAGACATTTCACCTTAGATTAATCATCTTTCAGGAGATTAAATGCTAATAGAATATGAGTGTTCTCAAAGCAACTTCTAAATATCAAGAATGCCAAAAACATGCATCTCAAAATATGTCCACTTATGCTAAATGTTTTAAAGTTCAAATATCTTTCTTACAAATTTCATCTCCAGCTCAAAAAGTAAAAATGCAACTATTTGGGGGGAGGGAGTTAACAGAGAAAAGTACTACACAAAAAGAATCAGACCATTATATATTGAGGTAAATACATGCTAACACACACCTAGGAATATTTTCTCTTTTCCAATAGAATAAGTACCACAGACAACAAGAGTACGTGGGGATACAGTTACAGTCTCAAAGGCAATGTTGATAGCAAACTGGATAACTTCCTGCTGAGAAGGAAAAGTATATTCTGGGCTGCAATATCTGAAATATAGAAATGAGATATATATTAATAGAATAGCCATATCATCAAGCAGTATGCTGTTTTAGCAAATGAATATTGACAAAATTACATACAAGCAATTGTATTCTAACATCACTGCAGTTTTCTTAGTTATCTACTGCTATTCCATTTGTTCTCAGCTATGGTAATTTAGTGCAATTCCAGACATTTCTAAAGCACCATGTAAAAGGTACTGGGATAAGTGTGAGGTAATTTCTGGCCAAATTCTAAACTTTTAACACTCTTTTTCTTCATAAATTTCATGCCAATATGCTAATGACTATTCAGAGACTCTCTGAAGAATATTTTTACCTAGCAAGTTGTTTTCATCATGGTTTATAGGTTTCAATTTTAAAAAAAACAAAACACCACAGTCATCATAAAAGAAAATGCTATTTGTTTTTATACTACATTTGGACTAAAACACTCAACTGTATTTTGGGTATAGTTCAAGAATCAAAGAACTTTAATAAAAAAGTAAATTAATTATGTAATTACTCCAGTGCCTCATTATGTCATGGAGCTTACCAAAATTTATGCCAGTGCAACACAAGTTCTGGTGGGTCTACTAAATGAGAAAGGTATAAGTATGAACCTGGTTCCTGGCCTCCTAAGCCTAAGTTCCTTAGGGTATGGACTATATTCATTTACTTCTGCTCTCAGGCCATCCTCCTCTTCTTCTCCTTCCCTCTGTAACCTTAGATCCCACCCCTGGATTCCTTATTATGCTGGAGCCCTCAGGCCTACCATATTACTTCATGCTATCTCCTCACCAGTATGCTGCATGTTTCCCTTTCCCAGTTTCCAACACCCTTTATGTGTTATCTTCCAACTTTAGAATGTAAGCTCCTTGAGGGCAAGAACTATCTTGCTTGCTCATATCTATACCCTCAGTGCTTAGCATAGTTCCTGCCACAAAGTGTTTAATAAATGCTCTATCTATTCCCAGCACTTATCACAGTGCCTTACCCACAGCATATAAAGATAAATACTTGTTAGACTAGGCTAGATTCTAATCAAGTCATCAGAAAATCTAGACAATACTCCATATGTCCAGATATATAGTACTATATAAACACAGCCTATGGACTATAAGGGTAGCTAGGTGGCGCCATGGTGCCTGGAGTCAGGAAGACTCATCTTCCTGAGTTCAAATCTGGCCTCAGATACTAGTTGTGTGACCCTGGGCAAATTACTTAACCATGTTTGCCTCAGTTTTCTCATCTGTAAAATGAAGAGGAGCAGGAAATGGCAAACTACTCCAGTATCTTTGCCAAGAAAACCCTAAATGGGGTCACAAATTGTCAGATACAACTGAAAACATCTGAACAATGATAGACAATAAATCTGAACAATGATAGACAATAAATCATTCACAGTGCATTCAAACTAGTGATGAACTAAGTTCATACTTATACTACCTGGGAATTTAATTTTATTGGGAACTCAAATAAGCATCTGAATTTCAATAGTTTCACATACTCTGTAGTTTCCAAAAATAAATGTCACAAAAAATGATATTTAACAATCAATGGAGCACTCTTCAACGAAGGAGCAAAGTAAGCTGTACCCCCACTGGATTATGGAGTCACTGGAAAAAGAGCAATACACAAATAAAACCTTCTTACGTGGTGTCTAAGTAAAGCGTGTGGACTTTCTGGTTAGCAAGAAGAGAACAGCGTTCCATGGAAGGATCTGCTCTGAAGTCTCCAGTGTGCAATGTAACAGTCCCATTTGGAAGATAAAAAAGGATCATAACAGCACCTGGACAACTAAATACCAAGACATTATAAAGGCACATTTTTGCAAAATGACCACTTCAGTGACAATGAATAAACATTTTTCATTAGCCAATCATGATGAAAAATTGTACTACATAGTAAAAAATTTCAACTCTTTAAGTAAAAAGAGAGGTGTTTGAAGATTATTAGCAGGAGATCTGGAAATATTCAAAATTCTGAGAAGCAAGAGGCTTCTGAGTAAAGTAAATCACTGGGAAGGAAAGTCACTATTTTTGGCCAAAAGCTGACTCCTTTTAATGTCCTAACAAGAAAGTGATTGTGCTAGAGGCAGCAGGAAAGTGAAATAAGCTCTCAGTGTAGAGTCAGAGAACTTAAAGCATTCAAATCTCAGCTCTGTGCTTCCATCTATATGACCCTGAATAAAATACACAGCATCTCTAGGCCTGAATTTCTTCATCTTTAAAATGGGGTTGGACCAGATGGTTTCTAAGGCCCCTCCCAGTTCTAAATCTATGTTGCTAGAACCAGAGTTAGAAGACCTGCATGTGTGATTTTAGGCAAGTCATTTTACCTCATGGAGGACTATTTTCCTGGTCTGAAAAATGTAAATTTTACATGTATTACACACATGGACTTAACCTTGAAGGGTTACTAAGAGGATCAAATAAAAAAAGTATACAAAATAGTACATATTGTTAAGTCAAGAACCATATTAACTGTCTGCCATATGCCAGATAGTGTGTTAAGGGCTAGAGACACAAAGAAAAGCAACAGACAGTCAGTGCCCCCAAGAATCTCCAAGGATAACTGGGGACATAATATGCAATAACTTATATACAAACAAAACATACAGAATAAACTGGAGACACTCTCAGAAGAAAGGCACTAAGGTTAATGAGCACTGGGAAATGCTTTTTGTAGAAGGTGGGATTTTAGCTCAGACTGAAAGGAAACCAGGAGGTGGAAAAAAATTCCAAAAATGGGGGCAGCCAATGAAAATGCACTGAGCTGGGAAATGGAATGTTCTCTTTGAAGAATAGCAAGGTAGCCAGCGTCATTGAATCATAGAGTGGAAAAAACTGTTAAGAGACTGGAAAGATAGGAAAGGGTCACATTATGAAGGGCCTTAAAAGCCAGAGGATTATATATTTGATCCTGGAGGTTAACTGGGAATCACTCTGGAGGAGGGAGGAGGAATGACATAATCAGATCTGTATTTTAGGAAGATCAATTCAACAGCTAAGTAGAGGGTGGCCTGAGTGGGAGATTTGCAATAGGGAGACCAAGCAGCAGGCTACTGCAATAGTCTAGTCTTGAGGTGTTGAGGGCCTTCAGCAGTGTGCTGGCATTGTCAAAGAAGGAGGTATGTATGAGAAATGTGTCAACAAGACTTGGCAATTAACATATATGGGGGAGGGGTGAAAGAGAATGAGAAAGGACACCTACGTTGCAAGCCCAGATGGTGGGTACCCTTGACAGTTATAGGGAAGTTGAGATGAGCACAGGGTTTTGGAGAAAAGATAATGATTCCAATTTTGGACATAATGAATTTAAGACACCTATAAGACATCCAGTTTAAGATGTCTAATAAGCAGTTGGGTATAGGACGCTAGAGATCAGGTGAGAGGGTAGGGGGCTGGAAAAATAGATCTCAGAAACATCTACATAGAAATGATAACTGAATCCATGAGAGCTGATGAAATCACAAAACTAAATAGTATAAAGGGAGAAGGGAAGAGGGGACACGGGACAGAACAGAACCCTGGGAGACACCCACAGTTAGCAGGCAAAACCTGGATGAAGATATAGTAAAGGAGATTGAGAGGGAAGAAGGAAAAGGAAGGGAAGAAACATTTATAGAGCATCTACTATATGCCAAGCACTGTGACAAGCGGTGCTTGGCATAAAGTAGTGCTTTAAAAAAAAACACAAAAAACAAATATTATCTCATTTGATCTCATTTGAGAAGGAGCAGTCAGACAGAAGAAGAACCATCAGAGGTACTACGGCAGGTCTTAATTACCCTAAGCTGATATCATTTAATGTCATTTAATGACAAAGGATTAATCAAATATTCTTTAAGGTGGAAGAGTTTCTTAGAGTGCTCTTAGACAATTCCTTAGGGAATATTTCTTTCTGGTCAGCTCCCAACAAAAAAAGTCATATCAGGGCCCATCTTCAGTTCCTAAATAAACTAACTCAAAACCATATTCGTGTGTGTGTGTGTGTGTGTGTGTGTGTGTGTGTGTGTGTGTGTGTGTGTGTGT